TCTGAAATTTCTAAGTTTCAAAAAGCCTTTTATCTTAAAATTCAATCTCATTATATTAAGTATTTAACTTAGAATGTATTTGTAAATCGTGCCAATGGAAGTATTCATACTTTTTACTATTAAAATTATTAGCTATTCTAAATTTCGTTATCCATAGGTTTAAGGTTAGTTCAGCTTTCTGTACTTAATTAAACCAATACGAGACATAATCGAATGAAATGTTTGTTCAACAAATTCGATGTCGCAACAACGAAAACCTGTGCGAGTGTATCGGCTGAAAACATAATGGTTTAATCTCGTTACATCGTTTGTATCGACTATCTGTTGCATTCTATTTTGCTGAGCTACGATATTACCGTTCCACGTATTTATTACCTTAGTATTATCACCATTTGATAGTCAGAAAGCAAGAAAATTTCATGTATTGGATAAATATTAGTTGGTAGTGAACAAAAATATAGCATTAAAAAAAGAAATGGTTACTTAACTTCAAATTATCTTGAACACTCAAAATGTTACACAAATTCTCCTGTTCTTAAGCAAGTAACATTACAAGTTAATAAGTATCAATAGGGATGTGCGATTTATCGGAAAAATGAATTACATAATAACCGGAAATAAAAATCGACCCAAATTCTTAAGGAGCTAAACTAGAACAAAAACCTCTTATGGTGGCCGCCATGACAGTTTTTTTTGTCATCGACCTAAGATGGCGCGTGACATCGGAAGCCGTCTAAAACAAAAGAAGTGTGACCGCCCCACCCAACTTAGCCAACTAAACATTTTAAAGCCAAAAAAATGTCCAAAAAAGAAGAGGAACAGAAAACTCCAGCGTTAGCAAATTAAATTCGAACGACTAAAAGCATACGGGGTAAAGTCAACACGGACGATGTCCCGTGATTTGGTGAATTCCCGAATTGTCGGTATGAATTCGGGCAGTAACACGTGCGATGTAGAGACAAGCTGGCATGCTAAACTGCAAAGTGGCACATTTACCGTGGCTTGCATCAGGCGCCCACTTGTTGCACGGCTCGAACTTCTCGCTTGCGACGACGAACTTCGTTTATTCGAATATTTACCTCTAACTTGCAATTTTAACTCCAATTCACTTTTAAACTTTAAAAAAAAATTACTAAATTACAATTACTTTTTACAACTAATTTCAGTTAACTATTAAAGCGATTACAGCATTCAACTACAAAATGTATATTTTAAAGCGTAAATGTTACAAATATTTAACACAATCGATAAAGCATTTAATAATCCGTCACATCCCGGCACTGTCTTAAAACTCCTTCAGACGTTTAAACGTACGCGTAAGAAAACCGACTTGCGAGAGAATTTCCGATTCTATTACCGAGGCACTTTTTACTTGGCACGGTTATTTTTTTAATAATTAATCTAATAATTTAACGTTGCACGGAATAGTTTTGATGTTACAAATATTTATGATTTTATCAGTGATAAGACGAGTTGCATCGGTGCACGCTGGTCGAGTTGCAACAGGTTGTTTGGCGGAGAGTCGGACTCGCGCATGCGCCCTAAGAACATCCAAATGCGCTATCCACAATGGTCACAAAATATACGGACAATATTTTTCCATAAAACATTTTGGTATTCAAAATTATAACAATGTTAAGAATGAAATAAATTTCATAATTTCATGACAATGTTTAATTTACACATTCAATTCTCCTATGAATATTATAACATCCGTTAAAATTTCTATTATATTTATAATTGTTCACACATGTGCTATTGAAATGAATATCCTATTATTGTTTTATCACAATTAAGTCACACTAACCTGTTACAATATATTATTAGGAACGTGGACTTTACAATCAATTGGGTGGTGAAACTAAACATTTATATTCTACTACTAGATTTCGCCCGCGACTCCGTACGTGTGGAATTAAAAAAAAACAAAATAGCCTATGTGTTCTTCTAGACTATCGTCTACATCTATACTAAATTTGATCGAAATCCGTTCAGCCGTTTAGGCTACGAACTCTAGCAAACATCCATCCATCCATCTAAACTTTCGCATTTATAATATTAGTATGAAAAGTATGTAGTATGAAGTATGATTGTAAAAAATATTTCTTAAAATAACTATCTTAATTTTAAATTTACTGGTAAATTTTGGGATTGGTAATGAAAATATTATTATCCCTTTCTTAGGAAACGATGCCTTTTGTATGAAATATTTTGGCAATGGCCATCCATAATAATATTTACAAAATACGGTTAACTGAAGATTATTGTATTCAGTTTGAGTCTTATAAGTATCGTTAGTGTTAATACAAGTCTATATAGAAACGATTTTATATTTAAAATTGTAGTACAAGAAAATTCAACAAAATATGCATCAAAATTAATTATAATTAACAAAATTGTGGTCATTGTAGAACAAGCAATGCAATCGCCCCTCAATGCCGGTCGGAATTAGGCGCAACGCGATCTAGCCTATATCCAAGCTAGGACCAAATCGAGGCAGCAACGCTATTTCTCGACATACACAAATATCGACTCACTTCTTGGAACTACGGAAACTTAATACGGTGGACTTTGATAGAAGTTTTAGCCTCTTGGAAATCCTACAGTGTAATCCTTAGTTTATTAGAGACTAGCTTTCGCCTGCGACTCCGTCCGCGCGGAATTAAAAAAAAAAACAAATGCAAGTAGCCATCTTCTACATCTATGCCAAATTTCATCGACATCTGTCCAACGGTTTAGGCTACAAACTCTAACAAACATCTGACCATCCATCTAAATTTTCGCATTTATAATATTAGTAAGATTTTTGCTAGGTTGCTGAAGTTTCCATTTATTTTCTCATTACTTATTGATCGGTTGGTATTTAAGTAAGTTTTAATGGACTAAAACTGATAGAAAACATTATTGATTTTAAAAATGAATCGGAATTCTAAACATCCTGCATATCAAGTATAAGTAACCTAAACTAATTTAGATATTATTTAGAAACTTGATAGCAATTTCTTTTCGAAATTTACACTGTAAGTTAGAATGAAGATAAAAAGACAATAATTGATTTTGCATAGTTAAATAATTGCATGTACCGTCAGTGCGGCAACTTGCGCGTCCTAATGGAGACTAAATGAGTTAAAGGCTATTTGAGAAATGCAGCCGACCGGATGACTGATCGCGACAGCACCTGCTTACCGACTGAGGGGTGCTGGCTTTATAATCAAAATCATGGATTATACTAAAACTAAATGATTTAAAATCAATATTGACGTTGAAAGATGCATATTACGGCTATAAAAAAAAATAAAAAAAATTACAACTATTTAAAAAAGTCAATAGCGTGATTATAGAAAAATAAAGCGACATCTAGTGACGAAACATTAACACTTGTACAATCTGTAGTTAAAATAGTAAAGTAAATGGATATGGAATTAGCGAAAATAAAATCATTGCACTATTTAACAATACAATTATTTTTAAAAAGCCAACAGCGTGATTGAAGAAATGTAAAGCGACATCTATTGGCGAAACAACATGTTTAAAACTGCAAGACAATTATTTTTAACGAAAATTTCAAATGAAATTCTGGCCAGTAATGCATTTAGAACAATATTCCCCCGTGCGTAGATAACATTGCGAAATTCAAACTCCACTGTATCCACCCCACAATATGAGATTTAATAACCAAAGCTCCTACGGTTCGTTTGTTTGTCTTATACGCTGGAAGCAACGGAACCTCGTTTTAGGGTTCCCTAGTAAAACAAAACTTCGCTCGCATATGAAGGAAAGGTTTTATTGCGTAAAGTTGGCGGAACTGAAAACATTTTGGAGAGTCCGACAACTTTACGTCTGGATGGAAATGCGTAGGAAATTGCCGTGTACACAGACTAGTTGAACGCAGTATGATAATTAGGATACCGGAGTGACGGAGAAGTTTTATTTGTCTGTGAATTCCAGTTGAAAAAATTTTGTGAAACGATCAACATATGAGAAAACATCCTGTATGTCATCATTTACGTTTGTCTTTTAATTTGTTGATTAAAGATTTCTTTTAGATATAATAATAACCGTGTGTAAATTTTATTTTAAAATTAATACTGTACCCCATAAACTTTCATATCTGACCGCTAATTGGTGTTAACAACGTGAATATATACTTTAGTATAAATATAAAACACTGCTTTCCGTATAAGAACTTTATTATTTATTGCTTAAGATCGCTTTTAGCAAAACTAAGCATTGAATTGCTTCAATAACTAAAATTTGTCAAAAAATCGCGCCGAACTGTCATAGCATAAAAAGGATTAATAATTAATAATTAGGCTAAAAGTGTTTAAAACACAGTTTTAGTTTATTATTCTGATTATTTACACATCTAAAAATATGGCATTTACCTACAAAATCCACTAAAAATTATCCTTTTACCGTTTTAAAGTGTTACAAAAACCATTTAAAAGTGTGACTTAAAACATCGTACTTAGACGACAAAAGAACTAAAGGTGTTTTTAATTATGGACCCCAACCCTAATACTTAGACCTTGCCCTTGAGTATAACACTTTCCACTTCGGTTGCTGACGAACCATTTATGTTGCCACTCTACCACAGATAATAAATAACTTTTTTCGTCACTAAAGTTTTTTATAACGTACAGATTTTTTAAAATTTTAATGTCCTTTTTCGCGTTCAAAAGATGATCCAATTAGTAGACGTTCTATTCATACTTTTAAATTTTATATGTAAACCTACGACACATTGAAAGTATAGTAAATATAATTTAGTTTAAATTTGATCTGTCTTTTTATCTTTGTTGACAATTTTATTCCTTAAGATTATTACAGCAAAAGGGATAGTGCCAAAAAAGACACTTTCTGAGTGGCGAAAAGTACCTTTCGCATTTTCATCGCTCACCGAATAAAAAAAGCAGATAACATACAATAAAGCGCTTAAATTACTCATGGAATACGTTACCAACAGGTATGTTTCATAATAAAGCGCTTGAATCGCTTACCTAGTATGTAGACCATGTTCTTTGTCCAGCGCTGCAGCTCCTTGCGTATGGCGCGACGTTCCTGCTGACAGCGCGCGAAAGAGCACTCCGCCATGGCATACGAACGAACCTGAATATAAATACAATAGTGGTACAGAATCCATAGACACAAGATGTCAAGTTGTCTGTTCTACCAGGACATAATCTTTGCCTATTACAGGCAAAACATCCAAAAGAAAGTATCAGATAGATATTCCAACTAAAAGTTGATATGATATTGCCAAAACAAAATTGTATAGAATTTGTATTGAACTCAACTTTCTACGTCATCTTGTATTAGGTAACGTATTTAACGTGTCAATATAAAAAAAAAACAGAAAGTAAAAGAGTATAAAGGTAGATGTACAAATTGGTATTTCGTAATGCTATTCAAATGTCTGTTAAATTTCATTGTCGAATGCAACACAAAAAATATCTCGAGTCGCTATAAAGACGAACAAAAGGTTAACAAGAATTCAAAACGTAGGTTCAATATAAAACAATAAATATAAGCGGGCGGGCGTCTGCGCGGGCGAGCAAAGAGCGGAATAAAAGATCGAAGAACCTCCAATTACTATAACATTCATCGGGTATCGACGCCGCCGGTCGATGCCCCCGACCTAACGAAATTCCACGAAAAACCTCCGGCCTCATCAGGAGATCCCGTCCCACCCCGAATATGCACCTCGCCACCCGATCTAAACCCCCAAATTCTTATTTCAAACTCCAGACGAACGGGGGCGTAAGGCGAGGGGGGCCTCAGCATCGCGAAACTATTCTTATTTGAAAATCTCTCTCCACGGAATATGCCACGAAAGAGGTTCTTATTTTAAAAATATCACGCTCCACCGAAAATTTCGTGTCCGTTTACACCGACCTAGCCGCGTTGTATCGATCCTTCTGCAAATTAACTCATGTTATGTTTAAAATTTATTATTTTTATCAATTAATTACAAACATGTAAAATCTAATATTCAAACTTAAATATTAACATCTAGACAAAATTAATCTATTTTTCCTTTAGTTAACATTCTTGAAAATTACTAAATTAAAGTCTTTGTTTTATGCAGTACTGAGATATAGTGTTTGAACAACAAAAAATTATGGATAATCGAATCGAAATATAGACGCGTCTAAACACAAATCAATATGAGACATTGGTTGAAAATGTTTCTTTTTTTTAATAATTAATTTCGTTCGGTAGTCTGGCGGTGTAGACGCACACGAAATTTTCTTATTTTAAAAGCCCGAGGGGTGGGCGCGAACGTTCTTCCGAAATCCACCCCGCGCCGAGTGGCCAGTTATGATATTCTTATTTTAAAATCGCTCGCAGCGTTCCGATTCTGTTATTAAGATGCTGGCTGGTGTGTGCTCGTTTTAACATGAACGCGGTTGGTTTTTTTTTAAAGCTTCGCCGTTTTTATAAGCCTCTTTAGTCGGAAAACGTTATAAGAAAAAGATGAGAAACTGTTCGGTGCGTCGTTTTAGTATTATTGACATTTTTTCATTTTAATGTGATTTTAAGTTCGTAAAATTTATTTTTGTTTAGATATGTTTTGTATCGAATAACTATAGGAGCATCACAAACTTACATTTAGAAATGCCTCAAACAGCCAAATATATGAAATATAACGGAGTAATATATCTATTTTTATCTCATAGAGTTGCTGACATACTTTTTCCTAGAATAAGCGTCAAATCGTTAAAATAGTTTATTCTCAGATGGTTACAATGAATTTATACATAGAAAAATATACACAACCTTATTTTGCTAGACACGAAATGAAACCTTTCTAAGTCGGTTCGGCATTGTTAAGGCGGCAACACACCATCAGTTTAGTTTATAATTAAAACAAGAGATGTATAGCTGGCTTTACAAAAAAAAAATTAAAGTCGTCAAAATAAACAAACATGGATATGCTAATAAAGGAGCGGTTAATAGATCCTAATAAAACAAACGAAATGGCCCACGTCATCTTCCCTGACCTACGTGACCCAGTTACCAAGTTTACGCACCGAGGGGTGGGGGTGCCGAATTCGCGTCCTAAGCCTCGCCCTCAATACACCCTGACCGAGAGAATCAGCTGATATGTTTAACCTTCTTTTTCCTCTAAGGTCAACAACCTTTCAACATGTACTATTGGCTTCTTTTGACGCAACTTTTCTAAAGCGATGTTTTACTTTTTTTTTAAATTTCGTTGTTTTTTTTAATACGTGGCTTGAAATAGATAATGTCCTTTAATGAAATGTCTTTGAAAAATTAGCTTTATTAGCTTTATAAAAAATAGTTTTATTCAGCTAAATATGTCATGTACTAACATGTAAACAAAAAAAAATTGGCATATAAACCTACTAAGGTTTATATGCCAAATTTTAGAATAATAATGTACAAATTTGTACCATTATTTTCCTATCTCTACATTTATATTGCCAATCCGGTCATTGACCTAAGTCTCGACCGTCTCCACTCGATTGAAGATACTAGTTATCGTTTCTACGTACATACGTTCTTTAACTTTCTTCGTATTTTATTATTCAATTTTATTGCTTGCAAAAATATTGTACTACTCAATAGAATTTAATTGCTTAGTCTGACAAGAAATGTAATTTAAAAATTCTAAAGCATT